GGGGGGGTATCTCTGGGGCCGGGGCAGGAGGGTGGGGTATTTAGCGTGACTGAATGGGACTGTTGATTTCATAAAGGGCAACAAATGAACGTGTTTAACAAGTCCTGCTCATCGCACGCACAAAGCTTCCTCTGAATCGTGCAGGTCTGGAGCTGTCCAACAGCAAGGCCTGAGCTTCAACCCAAGTTTGGTCTTCGGTTGTGTAATTTACCCTTAAATTGCTCACTTTCATCCAGCTGCAGTAGCACCATCAAAAAAAGCAGTCGGAGCATAGATAGATCGATAATACTTTATTAATCCCGTAGGGAAATTGATGTGTTACAGCAGTCCAGCCCAAGACAAGCAAAACAGACATCAGACCAAAAGACAAACAAAACAAATAAAAATAAATAAATACCTAGGTGTGTGCAAAATGTGCTGATCATAGTCTCTGTAAAAACAATAAGCATAAGAACCGGACTGGAATGGAACAGGTGGTTTTACCCCTGCTGGTAGTAACAGGCAGTTTCAGTCATTTTCCGACCGGAAGGTTTATTTCTGAGCGTCAGTTTGAGGGCTGCTGTAAGGGACCGCGCCACTGCAGGCTTCCCATCATGCCTCTTCCCTCCAGGTGGCTCCACTCTGGCTCGTCCAACATGGCCGTCCTGGAGGTGCCGCTGCTGTCTGGATTCCGTCCTGACGTGGAGAGCTTGGAGAAGGTAAGACGGGGGGGGCGCGCCGTTTGTGTCCACGACCGCTTTTGTGGGTGGAAGGACGCCCTGCCCGTCCAGCGTGGTGCCCGGCGTCCAGTCTGCGCGCGCCCGACGTTTCTTGTGCTCCGCGGTGCGGCCCCTCACTGAATCTCCTATCACGGCCCACGCCGCGGGGGGGGTAGTGCCCTCTGTGGACAGGCCCTCATTCCGCGCGGCTGCCTGGGGGGCTGTCTGAAGCGAATCCCTGGGAAATCGGCCCGATCCGGGCCTGTTTACTGCCGCTCGGGGACAGACACTCGCTCCCCACATCTGGAGGCGATTTGAGCGGAGGCAGCGTGTCTTGGAATTTATCAGCTCCAGCCCCACTCCCTCCTCTTCAGTGTGTGTGTGGTCATTTTCAGCCAGGAATTGTGTTGCAGGGTGGGGGGGGG